CGTCCTCCCCACCCTCCCCGTCCTCTCCATCCTCCCCGCACTCCCCGTCCTCCCTGCCCCGTGCCCCGCGCTCCGCCCTCGGGGCAGTAATGGTCCACAAGGCCATGGAGTCCGAACAGAGCTGCCCATCCCACACTTGGCCTCCTGTCTGTCTGAGGGCCAAGCGGATTCCAAATGCCGGACAAATAAATAGTAGAACACAATGAAAAAGAAACTGTGTGACAAAGAGTAAAGAGAACAGAAAAGAGGATGAGGTTGGGGTACAGTTTGGTCCAAGGAGGATGCCAGGTGAAGACTTTATACTACTCTTAATTTGTACTCACCACTTGGGTATATTATGGTGCCCAGGTGCAAAGTACCCATTGCCTCATTTTCTACCCACTGTACATACGGGAGACGAGATTTACTGATGAAATAAACTTCTGAAGGCTGCAGGGCAGCACAGCATTTGTCCTTATATGCTGAGTCTAGAACCAGGAAATATTAAGAATGACCTCTTCCTCCTTGGAGCCTTGTTCCCTCATGACCTACCAGGGTCCCCTTACCCCTGACAGCCTTGCTTCAGACTTCCACGTCGCCATCCTCATCACCCTCCTGAGCTATGTGTGTTAGGGGTCATGCCTAAAGCAGCAGACTTCTGAAATGCACCTTAAAGGTTGGCTGGGGTCCTGGGGTGTGCAAGGCATGAGTCCTGGAGGAAAGCAGTCGGAGATGGGGAAATAGACCAACAGGGGAGAAAAGACCTCTGCCTGCCCTCCAGTTCTCAGGTCCTTGGAGGGACTTCCCTCTGTGAGAGAACAGAGGAGAGCCTGCCAGCAGTGTTCCTGTTTTCTTGGGAAACAGTCAAGCAGCCCTGCCCTTTTCTCGGAGAAGGGAGAAGGCAGGGCGGGTCCTCAGCTGCTCCTCCGGGGCCCAGGCTGAGCCTGGGCTGCATCCTGCAGCCTCCCCACACAGTGGGAGCCATTTTCCTTGGTGGCAGAAGAAGCACATTGAATCTGAGCCCCAGGCCTTTGGGAAGCAGGCTGTGCATGCTGGGTGAGGGAGGCAGACCCCGGGCCACCAGCTGGGCCCTCCCCTCCACCTGTGCTTGTGGGTGTGAGGAGGAGGGTACCAGCAGACTGAGGTGAGGAGGGTTGAGGGTAGGGAGGGGTCATCTCATCATACAAGAAGGGCTGAGGTCAGAGCTGCTCTCCTACCATCATATTCCTCTTATATTTTTCAATTGTAATGAAAATGACCAAAAGTACAGAGTTTATAGAAAATAACATTTCCCCTCAGCCCACCATCATCACACAACCACCATTTACCATTTTGGGGTATACCCTTCCAGTCTTGATCCATATCCATACTTTCTTTTTTTATTGAAGTATATAATTGGCATACAATATTAGTTTCAGGTGTATAACATAGTGATTTAATATTTGTATACATTGTGAAATGGTCACCACTAAGTCTCCTTACCATCTGTCACCACACACAGTCTATTACTAATTGTATTCCTTGTGCTGTACATTATATCCCCACGACTTATTTTATGACTGGAAGCTTGGACCTCTTGATCTCCTTCACCCATTTTTCTACCCAACCCCCCCAAAACCTCCTTCTCCTCTGGCGACTAGGACTCTATTCTCTGGGTCCATGAGTCTGGGTTTTGTTTTGTTTTGTTTTTTTAGATTCTACCTGTAAGTGAAATCATGGGGTATCTGTCTTTCTCTGACTTATTTCACTGAGCATGATGGCATGCCCATACTTTCACACTGTCCTAGTAATCTACTGAATATATAGCTTCTGTCCAAATTCCCTCCCCCTCAGCATTTGTGGTAAGCATTTTCATTGGCCATATGACCATATTTACTTTTCCTTTTCTGTTGAGTATAAAATGCATCCAGTAAAGTACACAAAGTGCACTAATAAGTCAACATCCCGATGCATTTTTCATATGTATGGGTAACCATCACTCTAGCAGGTTCCCCCATGCCCTTTACATAGTCATCTGTCCCTCTCCCCCAGCCCACAGCAGAGCAAGGTCAGAGTTACCAATGGCCCTCGAACATCCCCTGAGTGGCTCTACCATATGTCCTGAACCCTTTTTCTATTGCTGGGCCCTTAGGTCACTTCCAGTGGTTCATTATTACAAGTAAGATGTGCCTTTTAGTAGCGTTCATGCCTTTAAAGGATAATGCTGCTCATCTAGGAGGGTTGCTCATCTGCAGATGGTCAGCACATGTCTATGAAGACTCAGGAAACTCCATAACCATTCATTTGGCCTCATTAGGAGCCAGGCTGAACGTTTTATTTGGAGGAAGGGATAGTTGGAGAGTAGAAGATTTATGTTGGAGCCCTCCTTCTACTTGTAGGTGTATCTGTATGAGGAGAGACCATTTTTTGCCCCTGTTGTAAAAAAAATTCGTGGCCACTTCTTTCTGTGGTGCTTGAAGGGATCTGCAGTTGACAGTGAGGACAAAGGGAAGGGCTTGGTTGCATCCCAGAAGGCCCAGTGAGAGAAGAAGTGGCTTGTGCAGAAGCCCAGTGAGTCTTGCTTGAAAGCCAAGAACTGTTGGCTTGTCGTGGAGACATGAATCAGAAGTGAAATGTTTGGGGCTGACTGGAGGGT